TTAGGGCTGTTGTACATAGGATCGCTATGAGTCGCAAGCGACTCGACAGCACATAACAACAACAACATAATCTAAGACACTGGATAACCAGGCCTTTATTCTGATACACATCTGGGCGATTTCTAACCACCAACCTTTAAGTTAGTGGCTGAGGGCTTTATTCCTGCATTATTTACACTAGCAAAGAGATAGAAGCAACTCAAGTGTCTGTCAACAAATGAATGGATGAAAAACTATGGTGCATTCCCACAATGTAACATTATACACAGCGCTAAAAAACAACTGGTAAAACATTACACAACATGATTGAGCCTGGAAGACATTATACTGAGTGAAGTGTCTTAAACACATTAAGACAAATAATGCATAACCCTGCTCTTAAAACATAGGACTGACATGGGGGAGTTGAGGGGAAAACAGGAAAAAGTAGCTAGATAATGAACACCGCATTGGAACAGATGAGGGGAAGAACTGTCAGAAAGGAATATATGATTAGACATATGTATGACAGCAGTCTGAACAAGAGGGGCATTGCAAAGTGCACTGGGGAGGGAGAAAACAGGTAACAATGAATAAATGAAGACCCCACCTTTCTATAAACTTTAGTTAAAATCACGATATAAATTTTAAAAAATGGTACAACTCCTACCAAAAAAATTGGTTTGAAGCTCTGTTATCTCCTCTGCTTCAAAATGGAACAGCTTCTTAGGCACAGAGAAGGGGCAGTGGATGCTGGCATATTGTGCCTTTTAAATGTTTGTTACTTATCTGCTACCTTACCAGTAAGGATCACTGGCGATATAGGGATTAAGCACTGGATTACCAGCTGAAAGGCAGCCATTTGAACCTACCATCCACTCCACAGGAGAAAGATGACATAATCTGTCTCTGTGACAATTACATAATTTACTTTGAAACCCTATGGGGTGATGCTCCTCTGTCTTCTTGGGTCACTGTTATTTGGTCCTGAATCAACAGCTTCAGGTGGTGGCTATTTTGATATTATTGGGGGTGTTTTTTGTTTTGGTTTCTATGCAAGTCTTTGTGGTGTTTTCTGATCTTGCTAGTATAACAACGGAACAAATTTTAGAAGCTTTATGAAGTTAATTCAATAAAAGTAGCTTTTACTTTACATCACAAATTTCATATTTATTTAGGCCTAATTTAAGGAACAAATGTAATTTTATTTGATACAGATAATTTATGAAATATGATATAAATAATATTTCTATTTTACCATAACTGGGTATATCTTATAAATCATTTTTATGCTATAGAAGTAACTAAAATTCCTATTAATTCATCTATTTTGTTGGCATCTGTTTCTTTTTTCCTAAGAAGTGTGGCATCTTAGCTCTTAAGCATTTCTTTGCTGACAGTCTTATTTGAAAATCATTTAATGTTCTAAGCAGACGGTTAGAACCTGTCATTCATCCCCATTTTATAGATGTGAGGAAAAGTTTCAGAAAAGTTAACTGTCTAAGGTGGTGATAATTTTTGAACTCATATCTTTTGAATACATTTCATCCTTTTATTCATCTAAAAATATATTCCTTCTCACAACCACAAGTGATCCCTCAAAATGTACCCATCTTAGATAGGTAACTTAACCTAGTTATTGATGAGAGGTTCTTAGACATTCAATGACGTAACATCACTTGGGGAAAAATCAAGATAGGAAGATGGGTTTGTTTTTTTTTTAACTCCTTCCTAAAAGTAGTCTCAAGATGAGGTGAAAATACTTTGACTGAGGCTCAGGAGTCTGGTGTGAATAGGAGCTTTGCATAAATTAGCTCAAGTGCTTTAGGTTCTAATATAAGGTGCAAAGATGAGTTACTTTTAGGCTAATATCTAATTACTTTTCTCTGTCAGTAGCCAAATTTTAAGGCTAACAGAGCCCTCCTTGGATTTCTGATTAGATATCTGAATGATCACGTTAGAATTTTGTGATTTTTGAAAAGTCTCATTGATTCAAACTGCTGTCACATCAGTGCACATTACTCCAGGTTTGTGGTACTGTGGAGACTAGCCATTGGCATTTGTATATGTTTGAACTTACCCGAGTACCAATGTCTCAGGGCTATAGAGTAGAGATGGGATTTGAATGCAAACCTTTGGAATTCAGATCTGTGCACTTTTTCTTTTGCTGCTCTACCTTCTGAAGGGTGGAAGTTTTAATTTCTTTCTTTCTGTAAGTGTTATTAGTCATTGCTGTGTGTCATTGAGTCTGAACCAACCCATAGCTGACCCTCCATGGGTTTTCAAGGGCAGTTAATTTCACAAGAGATTAAGCATCCTTTTCCCATGATTCTTAGTCATAGCTACCAGTTTTTGTTTTCTTTTTATTCTGTCAGCATCTGTGACCTATGTTGTTGTTGTTGTTGTTGTGTACTATCATGTCAAAACCAGCTCATAGCTGACTCACCAGTGAGTTTTCAGAGGCAGAAATCACAGGGGAGAAGATTGTCCTCCTTTTTTCTGCAGAGATACTGGTGGACTTGAACCATGTATCTTTGGGTTAGTGAAATTTGCCTTTGAGATAATTGGTTTTCTCCTGAGCTGCCAACCTAAGAGAAACACTGCTCAGCTTCCTTATCTTCAGCTGTCAAAGTGCAAATGTGAAACACCTGACTATTTATGATAAGGTCAACCCCACTTGAGGAGAATTTACCCTGAACAGATTGTTTTCTTTGGGTGGGCTTCCTGATACATGTGATTAGCTATTTCTTGTAGTATTCTTATTTCTTATTGTTTGTTTCTTATTCTTTCTTATTGTTAGGTACCATCGGTCTACTCAGACTCAAAAGTGGAATGCAAGTTCTTTATCAAGGCCTAAATGATAGGTTGAAAATTAGAAGTAGTTCTCTGTTCAGCTCTGATATCATTTTTGAAGCTTTGTTAAATGAGGTCACTAGTCTGTCATTTGCAGTTCTGATGGTAAACACTGCACAGGACCACAGCAATGTCAGCAACAAATTAAGTAACTTTCAAAGACTCTTTTAAAAGAAAAACTTAAGGAACTCAGTGATTTTTATATGGCATTTTTGCCATGACGTCAGTTTCTAAAGAGACATTATAGGTTTACCAGTAGACAGTTCTTCTGTCACCACATAAATGTGAGTGAGTCCGCTGTGTTGCTTTTGTTTGAGAAATAACAAGGGAAACCTGAGTGATTGTATTTATTTTAACATACATCCTTATTTAAATTTACACTCAGAATTTATTGGCCCTTTGCATTTGTCTGTGTTTGAACTTAGCCAAGTAGTAATTTCTCCTGGCCATAAAGTAGAGATGCAATTAGAACTCAAGCCTTTGGAATCCAAATATGTACTCTTTCTCTTCTGT